GTTTATCTTGTATTGAGAAACCCAGAAATCTAGTCGTACGTAGCAATATGTTTAATCATATGTCAGTAGTATAAATTTAGCTGGGTGCTGTATCTAGGTCAGGTTACATCATAGATCTAGATGATTGATGCCCGCATCCACTGCAAAGTTTATGGTCTTTCTTTTCCGACCTAGAGCCTATTCTATTAAAACTAATTCGTCTCTTCTACGGATTTCCGCATGAACCTGCAAAGGTTTATTTGGCCGACTGGACTACGTGGGTCTCTTCAAATTCGGAATTTGTGAAAGGGTATTTTAGATGTTATCAATTGTTTGAGTGCTGGATTTCTTGGTTTCTAGATTTCTTTTGTGTTGAAACAACGTTTTGCAGCGAAAGACTTTTAACCTCATACTGGTGCTTAAATTGGACTTTATTGCACTAAAATCAGGCTGAAATTGAATCTTTACTAGCAAATACGTTATAGATTGAAAACCTTGGAAAAAGAACTTCTTTTTAATTTGACTGTGTTGGAGTTTGATGAATAAAATACACCTACGACAGTTTTGTACTTTTTACTATCGCGACATAACAGATTTTAAACTACACTTTGTAGATAAATATCTCAGCTATGGAGTTGGGTTTGTAGGACAATAAATCTACGCAAAAAGGCACTATAATGTAACAGAGTATCCACGCAAACATTAAAATTTCTTAGGAATCGGAGCATAAAAACAACAGTTTTTAGCGAAAACTACACGTCTTTTTCGAAAATTTTTTGTGCCAGTTCAACTAACGAAGAAGGATTGTCAAGTATTTCGTCGATTTTTTCATCAAACATAGGTATGCTGATAATATTTATTTATTCAGCACAAATTATTTGTTTAATAAACAAATAATTTGTGCTGAATAATAAATATTATGAGTTTACACAAAGTCCTGCCATTAAATATCCATAGGTATTCTGCTTATTGTATTATTCTAATCACCGGTCTGATATACGTGTTAGCTCGAAATGCTTGTAGCGAAAAGATGCCCGTTTCTCAAGGTTATCTCATTTTCCGAAAAATAATATGTTTAACGAAATGGTAGTTCTCAGATTCTCAGTTAGAGAAATATATCAACAAAATATAGACATCCATTTCGTAAATAAAAGAATATTCTAACGAGTAGTGTCGAATATTTTGACAATATCTCCTGCATCGAAAGTCCTAGAGAGCACCGAGATCTGCCATTTTTGTTCGCCACATTGTTCTTCGAAAATAAAATAATCGTAAGAAGCTTTCCGCTCGAAGAATATAAAGATAGAAAAGTAGCACAAAAAGTTAAAAAATCATGTTTTCAGGCGAGTTAAGTGGAATGATCTTTGACGAAACTAGCCTTTCTCGTTTCTTTCTTCATGTAAAGGTTCTAGTTTGTTGTCTCTAATTAATTCCTTTTCTACAGAGATTTGTCAAAACTCAACGATGTACTAAAATTTTTATTTGACCCAATTTTTCTCAAAACTATCATAGGATGGAAACTTCTGATAAGTTAAAAAACAATTTTAAAGATCTTGTACTATTTGCCTGGTTCATTTAATATCTTCTTACATCATTCTTACTTTTGCTGATCTTATTCTATTCTTCCAAAACTAATTGAAAAAAAACGTTTCTAAAAATAAACTTTATACCAATCTGTATTTTATTAAATCTATTTAATAGTTATTGCCTTTTTTCTTCTTTCTTTCATCTAATTTTAATCCGTACTATCGAGATAATGTTTCTGATATGCAACATATTTTCTAAAATATAAATTGAAGATATAACGACAAAGTGGACACAATATATATGCTACTGGTAATTTTTTTCAACTTCCTACGTACATATGTATACACCATTGTACACAAAAAAAAAATGAAAATTTCCACGCCATATGATAACAATTCAGTGTTTGCTCTCAAGCATAAAATATAGTTTGAGAAAAAAATTTGTAAGAAAAATATAGAATCATCGAGATTATGCAATACATCTAGTATAAGTATCGAATGCATTTTTATATTTTAGTAGTATTCTTGTTCTCAAATTTCATCAGGTAAGTTTACGTGCACGTTTGTTTAAATGTTACCAGTACCCAATCTCTGGTCAGATACATAGTGATCATTTTGGTTCGTTTAATCTCAGCGGGTAGGAGAAGAGTGGCTAGATAACCTCTTGTTACAAGCTAAGATTTCACTAACAATGATTATGACGTTTCTCAAAATACACAATTGATAACAGACATACATACACAAGTTATGGCCTGAGTATTGCACTTGGTATTGACTCGATATTAATTGACAATTCCAGTGTCACATGCTCCAGCTATGCTACTTTTAATTTCGTTTTGAAGGTTAATCAAAATAATATTCAAAAGACAGGTTTGACATATTATTACAGAATCTTTGTTTTGGATGCATTATTTTCCATCTCGTCTACATTAATTTTTCTTCCATAAACTTGGATCAGTATTTCTTATTAAACAACAGACTGTTTGATAACTACGAATGTTAACATTCATTGTTCGATATGACCGGAATGACCTCGTAAGAAGGGTATAATTAAAGCTTCAAGGTGCAGAAATTGAATTGTCCATATAAAAAAATGGCTATGACAAAATTTTGATTAATTCCTGAAGATGTTAATTTTCGAATACGTACAGGTGGCGCCACCATAACGTCGTGACTTGTAACGACTTCTCACATAAATTGCATCAGGGATTCATCATTATTTTCTGATAACCATTTTTTTATATGGACAATCCGATTTCTACACTTTGAAGCTTTAATTCTTCCGTTCTCATAATGTCATTCCTAACATATGTTGTTCATTTACAGTCGACTCGTTTGAATCTTAATTTTTTCAACTTTTACTCTACACATGATACTTTTAAGCAAAACTCAGGTATTTAAAGCCCTCTAATATTAGAAAGAACAAAACACTGACTTTTCTGAAATGCTAGTGCCAGAAAGAATCTCAATGGCACTGACTGGTACCACCAGTCAGGTCTCATTTTAGCCAGAAACATTCACTCCGAGTAAATGTTTTGTGGCTAAAATGAGACCTCACTACGAGGGAAACGTCCCAGGTGTCCCCTTCCGATTCCAATGATTTGTACATGAACCGATAGACCTCAGTGAGGTAGTAAATACCCTAAAAGGATTCGTGCTCTTGACTCCTGAAGATCTGGTTTTCTGGAAAACCAGTTTTTCAGAAGTTCTAAAAGATGATCAAAACCTTTTCATAGTAAGACCTGGTTGTAGTCCGCAAATTTCTGATTAAAATGACACATCTCCCAGCTCTACATGACCTTTCTTTGCAAAGTTATAAAATTTATAAGAAAAGCCCTAGATGTTCATTGTCAGCTCAAAGCTATACAAATAAGAAGAAATAAATTTAGGGCTTTTCGTATAAATTCTATAACTTTGCAAAGAAAGGTCATGTAGAGCTGGGAGATGTGTCATTTTAATCAGAAATTTGCGGACTACAACCAGGTCTTACTATGAAAAGGTTTTGATCATCTTTTAGAACTTCTGAAAAACTGGTTTTCCAGAAAACCAGATCTTCAGGAGTCAAGAGCACGAATCCTTTTAGGGTATTTACTACCTCACTGAGGTCTATCGGTTCATGTACAAATCATTGGAATCGGAAGGGGACACCTGGGACGGTTCTCTCGCTAGCTAAAAGTTACGATAGATACTACTCTATAGTTATACTGAGAGTGCTACAATCTGTATCATACAACGCGCCACCATATCTCTAAAGCAGCTACTTCCACATCAGGATTCATAATTTTGCTTCTGCGTTTTTGACTTAAACTCGTTTTAGACAAACTTTACAAAGAAAACTACATACTCGTTTTTGAGGTCAACGATTACACTTATAGCGTCAAAACACAAGATTTTCCGTTACCTGCTGTGAACCGTTACTGTTTATTTTAAAATTTAGTTTTTATGACATTGTAAAAAAATCCAAATGCATTTTATTAAGAGATAATAACGTCATTAGTGAACGATTAACAGCAAAATTATTCACACAGAAGAACCAGTTCGGATAAGACTTAGAATCGGTCCACTACATTTTAATGTAGGACTGTGTCGAAAACTCATCAAAGTCGTCTTATTTTATGATTTCTACCCTTTTAAGCGCTTCTGGTTCTGGTTGAACATATTAGATGAAATCTACCCAGAAAAAACGATTTTTATACGAACAGATAGAACTGACTTTTGTCTATTGATTGATGTAAAATTATGTTACTTTTTTTCAATGGTAAACTTTTTACCTTACTAATTAAAACTAACAGCGTTATATGCAGAATAGTGAGCTCTCTCCGCCTATGTAATTTCTAGCTCAGTCCCAAATATTATTAATACGTTAGTTCGAATTTAGAGAAATGAAAGAACATGGTCATTTTTTGATATATATGTGTTTTGGGGTAATTCCGGTTATTTAATAGCAACGTGACTGAAGCTTAATTAGGCAACTACTTAACCTTAATGAATTTTAGCATAATTTTTACATCAATCGATAGGCAAAAGTCAGTTCTATCTATATGTATAAGAATTGTTTTTCTCCTGTTATAAATAGCTGAGCTATTAGCAAACGACTGAGAAAATTTGTTTGACACTGATCGAAATTATCCCAGATGACTCTAGGTACTTTCCGAAAACGCTTACTTTTTACCTTTCATCTTCTATCTCAGTGCATCCGTTTTCTGTTTCATTTAGCGAAAGATCTTCATTTACGTAAGAATACATATATCGATTGAGAAAAGCGGTTAGTTAGTGTGTGCATTAATAAAGCATTATTCTACCTTCAACATTAATTAGATTTGCAATTGAATTTAGAGCTTTGTTGCTCTGTGACTATTATCTTTGCTATTTATTAATTACTTTCAGTTTTAAACAGATTTAATTGACCTTAAGAAGAAGATTTCTAGGCATAAATTCAGATATTACTTGTCCACATTCAAGAAAATTTCATATTTTCATAAATCATTCTTTTTTTTAAACAATAAATTCATTTTGTACTAAACGTATTAAAATTTCGCTATCTTTAACAGTTTTTGCGTTGGTAGTTGATAATTGCTGATCGTTTGTTATAGGTAGTCGCAGAGGTTTGTATTGTACATAGTTTAGCGGTGAAGCCGGTTCACCGTGATATAAATTACTGTTTTTACGTCTTTTACGAGCATTAATATAGGAGCAAACTAGAATATTAAATACTAATAGGAGTGACAGAATGAATGCAATAATAGATACTAATATGCGTATGTCGATAACTACTGAAGGTTTTGTATTAGGAAGAGTAAGCGGAGTACAACTGGTGAATGTTCTTCGTTGAAGACATTTCACGGTAGATGATGATTTGATTGTTTTACATTGTTTTACCGACGATGATTCATCATTTGTGATGTTATTGAACAGTAAATCAATAGAAGCATAGTAGCCAGAATGAAATGATACTGAGCCATTCACTAAAAATACAAAAAATGTAAAGTTTTCCAAAGGTGTTTGTGAATTACCAACCTTCAACCACCATAGTGTTCATTCCGGGATAAAATTGTTTCCAATCTGTCAGTTTCGTTGCTGCAGGCATTGTCAGTTCGTCAGGAGTGCTAATGAAATAAAATAGATATTTCAACGACCATTATTTTGTGTTCCACCTATAGTTGGTTTTGACGCTCCTCTACCATGACGTTTAGAATTTTTGACTAGAGTTATCGCTATGATATGTCTTACATCAAAGCACTTGATTTTATTTACTGCACATAACTCAGATGAGATGAGGATAACTGATGAGAATGAGAAATACTGTTAAAACATAAAATATTTGATAAAATAATTCTTACCCTTTATGTACAAAACTGCTCAATATTTGTCTCGTCAAATGACCAAGTTCTGCATATTCACTGTTCATCATAAGTGATTTACCAAAAAAATAACTTAAACCGTTATGATCATATTTATTTAATAAAAATGAATATAGTCGAGATTTTGATGATGCTTTCTGTACTAAACGAGCAAATTTGATTGAGGGTGCTGTCACATACATATCTGTGAAAAATAAGGAATAATTTACAGAGAATGTGTCTGCTGAAGAATTGTATTTTGAATACGCATAACGATAAAGTTCAGATGTAGTTAATGGAGAAAAGTTTGATTGAGGATATAATGAATTACCAAATAATAGATCGATTTTAGGTAAATAACGTTCAGGATATAACAAAATTAGTTTAAACAAGTTTTTTGATAATAAGAATCCATTATCGATAGGAGAAAAACTTGATAAAATATTTGTGAATAAACTCGAATTAGTCTGTGATAAGCAGTTAGAAAATGCAGGTAAGTTGTCATAATTACATCTTGTAACTGTTGCAAATTCTTGAAAATTAATCGGCGGGTATGTTCGTTGATGTAACAGTGATCCTCCAATTAGAACTAAGCGTTGTACAAGTGACGGTTGTTTCTTTTGAATACCTAAAGATGCGGACACTTTTCTATAAAGCTATTATAAAGAGAGATGTGACGCGATTACTCCACAGTGGGCAATCAAGTCAATATTAGGTAAAAAATAGAAAGTAAGATTTTCCAAATTTTGAATAGCGGTACGTATACAATAACAAATGTTCAATCTTTTGGTAAAAAACTTTTTGTTCTGAGACTTCGTATTGGTCGAAAAAAATGAGTCACAAAAACACATGCGTTTCACGCACGATCGGTGAAGTTTTATCTCAGTTTAGCTTTTATTTGAGTTTAGCTTTTCTGAGATCTTAAACAAATATATCGACAAAAGCTATCGATTGGTAAAACAAATGTTGCTTGGAGCACTTTTCGTGCTGAAATAAAAAGGGTTTTTCTGAATGGAATGGTTTCCCAAAAAAAGATTCTTTGTAAAAGCGAGTTCCCAAATTTTTCCAATGCCCAATCTTGATGAGAATTTTAAATGTTCTTCTATATATGACACGTCTATCCTGTTGGTATAAAATAGCATAAATTTTCGTAGGCGGAGAAACAGATTTTACAAAAAACCCTGGTTTTCCACAGGACTTTCACCCGTTTTCCAGGCTAAACTCACTCTTTTTTCAATAATAATAACATATTCGGAATCAACGTGAAAAACTGCATCGAATGATTTATAATTTACAGTAGTTTCTTGGGAAAAAATTGTAAGTTTTCGTGGACGGCTAAATGTGAGGCAGCACCGTGGTACTTGAGGCCGGTGGTTTTTATATCGTTAGAAAAGAGATCCAGAGGCCTACAAATAATTGTTTTATAGGTTTCTGAGTACAGCTGATTCAATGGACTTATTTAAAAAATTGTAAACTGATTTTGCAAAGGTTTTCTATAGACCGGATCTCTGGAAAACCCTTAAAATATGAGCTTTGAACTTTATAAGTGACTCCATTAGAAAGAGCCCGCTCGAAAACTTAGAAAAACATATCTGAAAGATCTTTCCAGCGGTTTAAAATCCAATGTCCACATGCCTAGCCAAAATTGCCTACTGTGTACTGAGAGATCGGGTTTTATGAAATGAGGAATATAATGACCACGCGCCACAACTGTATCGCATAGATTCTCTCTGATACAGTCATCAACATTTCTGATTATAAAAGGTGTGACAACGCTTTTCTTACCATTCACAGTATCCATTGTAAGTAGTAAACTCGCCAAATTGGCTCCAGTTCCATGACCAAATATTGTTATTTGATTTGGATCACCGTTAAAGTAACGAATAAAATTCTTAACCCAATGTAAGCCAGTATAAAGATCCATCAGACCATAGTTTCCTCTTAGCGGTGTGTTTGGGATATGTAGAAACCCTAAATAGATGAAATAAAAAGCTAAACATTGATATTCTAGGTTGTTGAGAAGGTTTTAGTGTATGAATGGAGTAAATAATGTCTCTGAGTTTAGTTGTTAGTCATAGGTAGGCTTCCACCATCTCTAATTAATTTAATTCAAAATCGAGATCAATTTTGTTGTGTGTGCTTTCCCAAATGTAATTAGCACTATCGCACAGATGAAGAAGTTCAAGAGCAACGAATTCAATGCAGACAAAGATCTTATACTCTCCAAGTCACAGTAATCATAAATTCTACTTAGACCAAACTTTCATGCAATGTTCAGTATGCAAAAAAATAGCCGCGATAAAATTTGAATGTTACTAGACATTTTAGAATATCAGAGTTAGGGTAATAGTGAGTAAGTTAGTGTAATAGTGTGAAAGAGCCGGATTTTATTTTATTTCTCGATGAACTTGGTATTAGTAGTTAAAACGAAGCCAAAAAACTGGCGTATGACCGTCGGCAGCGTGAAACAATGACGGGCTATATAATAAATCAGACTCTTTTACGCTGTTCTTGTATGTCTTAGCTTCAACCTAAACAGGAATGAGTCCGTTCTGACCTTTCGTTACAGTTAAATGTACCGAACGGTGAGTTTGCTTAGCAAAAAACAGTTTTTAGAAAAGCGCAAACTATTAGTTATATCCTCAGAACTACTTGTCTTCTGATTTCATTCACTCTCTGAGAATTTTATGAGATTCTGTATGGGTTCTTGACCGTGAAATTTCTGATGCGCACATGCTCACATGTACCGTATATAAGTATGTGAATGTTTTTCTCAGAACGTTTTTAACCAATAAGCATAAGATATGTATATTTCCACAAAACTTCTAGAAAACTGTATAACAACTACTCAAATACGGTTATTTAGCGAATAAAAGTTGATGCATCGGATAGAGTACACTAGAGGCTATATGTTCATGTACTTTTCTCAAAATTAATATTTTGAGTGGAAGTCGTGATTTCTGATGGGAGGTACTACAAGAGAACGTGTTTTTTTAAAGAGGATTGTAAAATTTTTGCGTTTTAACAGAACATGCATAAATGTAGAACTTAAATTGCATACAACTGCGTTAAATTTACAAAGTTACAACGTAAAATTTCTAGCATAAATTTTCTTTGTCTGTATCATAATGATAATTATACTTTCACGAGTATATGCAAAAAAATTGATTTCGATCAAGTCTAATTCTGAAACCTGAAATTAAAGCATAGCTGGTCATAGAGTAACGATATTACTTGTCTTTTTTGCATATATTTTTACAAGAATCATTTTTCTAATCAATTATTTACCAAGTATCCCTAGTCTGTAATTAATTGTTACTACAACCATATGTCCCATGCTTGCTAATAAACTTCCATCATAAACATTTCCACTTCCCATATCATTATCGCCATGTATAAAGAATAAAACGGGTAATAAAGCATCTAAATTAGAGTCAAACAGATATTGCATAAGTCACCATATATGAATAAATAATTAAATTTGTGTAATTTAAGTGAAGAGATATACACACTGGTCAAATCACTGTCAACGCAATTTGAGTTAATCAAACGAGTAAATATTTAAAGCAAAGAAGAAGAAAAGAAGTGAGTTGATCACTTGTCAAAAAATGAGACTAATGAACTTGAATGATGTGATTGAATAAAATACTCTCGTATAATTATTAAATGATGAAGAGGAAAATAAAAATAAATTAAAACATATACAGTACAGCCATTTTGAAGTGATGTGAATTTAACAATTCTAAAAATTCAGATCTAGTCCTGTTCTTAGTGATCTTAGAAATAGAAAAATAAACAAAAAGAACGATTAATAATAATACGAAACGAATATAAAATGATATAGAACCAAATTTATAAAATAATAAAACTAAAAATATCATTCATTCTACATATAACTTCATAACAGTACTATCTAGTGGATCGCTTCCAGTGGCAACATGATTCGCAAAAAGTTCAAAAGGTGTCATAAGTGTAAAGATGAATACTCATGAAAAGTTTGTGTGATGATGCATTCGCTATGGTGATCGATAGGTTAAACGAGACAAATACGTATAGACTGTATTCATACTAGAAACTTTAACAACTTTAAGCACCTACAACATATTTATTACACCATGACGTATAACATAGTTTCACTATCTTCGGGGAACTCTAATACACGGTTAGTGAGTACATTTGAAGACTGAACTGTGCATCAGGGAACATTCTAGTTCGAGCTGTACTCTGATGACTAGCAAAGCGACAGTTAACAATCCTGGAAGATTCTTCATTACAGAGAACATAGCAGAACAACATTATTTCCACTCACCCGTATGGCCCATATTTCGTTTGACCAATGGTTGATAAATATTTAAATAAAGACAATTTTCTGATTGATTCATGATGTGTGGTAGTAGTCGTTTGAGATAATAATCATCGATCCATTTTTCTGTTCGTCCAATTTTTAAAAGCTCAATTTTTGTCCATATCTTCTGAATGCATGCCGGACCGTATTGATCCATTTTTTTGACCAAACCATTTCTTGATTCAAAATTTGTTCGTTCTTTTGATGGTTCAAAACGCTTTGAATATGTTCCATACTCAATACCAAGAAATTGTTCCACATTCGGCATTGTAGAGTTATTAAAATCGATGATGAGACCGCGTAATGTGCCTAATGCTGGTATCATAAGAACACGGTCACTGTCTAACAGATGACGACTAGTCAGACAAAGATTAAATAGAAAAACAAGCGATAATAATAAATGAATTATTATCATACAGACTAATTAAAAGATAATTGTTTCCATTTGAACGTGTCTTTTAAAGTTTCTAACTAAAAGTAAAGACGACATAATAAACATCAAGATAGTAAAATATCCTCCAAAAATGAAAATAGCTATAGTGGATAAGGTAGACAAGTCACTCCAAACTATAAATTCGTTATCTGCTAAATTAACTTACTAGTTAAAGTTAGTTGGTGTTGTATATGACTCTTCCTTTTCACTCTAATAGATTCTAATCGAAATTGATTTTTTACCATAAGAAAAATAATTCTCTCTTTTTCTTCTCTCAATAAGAAATAGTACCAAGAGATAGAAAAATTTGTACATATGTTTGATGATTAAATTAAATAGTTCAGTGTATAGAATAATACAGTAAGAAAAATGGAAGGAAAAAGAAAAGAAGTTAGATATTTACATTCATTAATGATGATGTAAAAAAAATGACGTAATTGACGAATAAAAATATATTTTTTTCTCTCAGAAGAAATTAAATTGAATAAAAGCTTTTAGCGCGCATAAAACATACGTTACTGTTAAAACATGATGTCTTAAAGTCGATTTAATGTAGTCTGGATATAAAGACGCATATTTTACAAAAAAGATTCTATCTCCATTCTAAAGATGTTTCATTCTTTAAAAACAGACAAACTGTACTAACTATATTTAGTTGTATTATCATTTATACGAAATCAAAAAGTACAACTCTACTTCATTGGTTTCTGAGTAAAGAATTATGAAATTAGTATTAGGATATTTCCGTTGGTATCGTACCCTTAGGGGGAGCAGTATTAATATCGGAAAAAATACCGTTGACATACTGATCGCATACCCACTACATGCCAATCACATACCATCCATGAGGTTTTTTTATCGATTGAAACGGTGTCTAAATGCGTGTAAACGACGAAATAAAAGAAACGCGTTTAACTGATGCTTGAAATGCGTTTCGCATATCGGTTAAACAGCTACAAATCGCGTTTCAAGCATTGGTTAAACGCATTTCTGTTATTTCGTTGTTTACACGCATTTAGACACCGTTTCAATCGATAAAAAAACCTTACGGGCAGTCGCACCCTAGAAATACGAGGAACTTTGGTGTTTTTATTCATTTTCTAAAGTTTTTCACTATTTAGCTGTTGTTTGGTCTTAAAAAAAGTACAGAAGCTGACCTTTTAAAAAGAAAGTTGAACGTCTAAAAATTAAAATTTTGTTAACTTGTCGACTTTAATGCATGTTCTCCGCTTTTACTTCTCATAGACTCCGAATAAATGGGACCGTTGCATGTCTAAAATGATTCACTCGCATTCGGTTTATATTTTCCTGATAGTTACAGTCTACAGTGGTAAAAATAAACGTAAACATGCGAGCGTATGTCACTTGCCAAGTTAGCAGTGGTCTTTCATCCAAGTACACGATTTACTGCCAGTTGAGTTACTTTCCATTGATTACTTTCTATTTTAATTAGAATTTTTCAACTAAAAGATGTAATCAAGGGAAAGTAAATTTGTTGGTAGTAAATTCTGTAAGCCCTTTTGTTTCATATTTTAGCCATTTTCCGCTTTAAACCACTAAGTCATGAGCATGTCTCGTACCTTCACATATTTCCACTATAACTCGGTCATATGGCAACCAAAAATTCTTGGTGACACCTCATTTTGTAGGAAGTTGAATTCTCTACAAACTGGCCCTAATTTGCGTTTTTTTCACAGACTTTGAAGCCTACTAGTTTTCTGGAAAACTGGATCTTCAGAGACCCATATGTCGGGAATGACAAATTATGTATTGGGTTTTTAGTGGATTCATATACTTTCGGCTATGGAAAATATGGCAATAGTAACCATGGTGTATGGGAATAGCCCTATTCCAATAATAAGTGCTGCGTAAAAGTGACAAAAATTGAAAAAACCGCACTTTAGTTGTCAAAGATCACTCTCAGCAAGCTTCGCAGAAAGACCTTGCCGAACGACAACTTTTTTTCCTATAGTTTAGATGATGAGGAATCTAGTCCACTATTCGATTCTGAGTTTTGGCTTTCTCTTCGTAGTGAAAACTGCATTTCAAAATGGCCCATTTTTGAGTTTTGGCTTCATTTTGAACGAGTGTAGTAAGGCATCTGAGCACTTTGAAGGGTGGATCCAATGACATAGTTTGTTCGTTACCAGTATATATCCTGAAAGTTGCAGCTCGATCGGTTTAGCTATCTCTGAGAAAATCGGCTGGCAAGCGCCATTTAGAAGCCACGGAAAATTAAATTTTGAGAGCGAGCTGCGGACCCCGCGCCGACATTTAAAAGCTTTTTAAATGTGATATTTTTGTTTAGAACTGAATTTTCTTTCGAATGAGAGATGCCTCTATCCGTGCGGTAAATCTGTCTGTAATGGTGGTACAGTACAGGAAGAATTACCCATTAAGCTTCCTTTCAGGAGCTGGTCCTCAACTTATTCACCAAATCGAATTTGTGTAGGGTGATTTTCTATTACGATAATCTTTTTTTCTTTTCTGGCAACGTAAGAAACTGTTTGTTAGACTAAAATCGGTAGTCTTGCAAAACTAAATTTGTATGCGCGCATCACTTTGTCATAAGTCGTCCATTCAAATAGCAGCGTTCAACAGCATAATTTTTTCCGTTTCTACCCTTTTTTTAAGTCTATCAATACTGCTTTTTATCCAAAGTAAAGGATCATAGTCTGGACTTCTGTCTTTTACACTCTATAATCCACTGACGGATCCAGCCAGCGAGCAGTATACCTTTGGAATGAAAAGATGATTTTTAACTAGCAGAATCGCCTAAAAAAATTGTGTTTCTATGACGATAGTGGAGTCGCATTGAAATGAAATATTTATGACTAGAAATGTATTCTTCAAAAGACTCGTCATGTACACCATTTCTAGGTGATATTTTTCGCCATGTTTCGGTGCGAGATAGACGTACTTGTATCTTGGCTAAAACCGAAAAGCGCTACTATTCGGACAGGATATCTATATTGTATATAACTAAAAGTTTCTTGGTTCAAAGACATGTTTCAGGCTTATCAAATACTTCCCTAGTAAGAAACCTATACATTTCTTGACAGGATCCTTGAGAAATCCGACCAGGATCCTGCCAGGATTTAGCTGACCTGTCGGTAGGACCCTAGAAAAATCTTACAGAATCCTACAGAAATCAGGTATACCGAAAAGTCGTAGGATTTGTTAGGATCCTGTTAGGATCCTAACAAGAATGCGATGACTGAATCATAATGTAGCAGGAATTGTTTAGGATTTTAGTAGGAAAAGATAATTCTTGAACAGGAATTTCATAGGATTGCTTATATGTTCCTATCTCTCGTGAAATTTCTCCATCCGTTTCCATTATTTGACCAAAAGTTACCATGATATTCCAAATATTTCTTTGTAACTCTAAAGCACATTTAAAAATGGCGCGTATACATTTATTACTTCAACCTGAGATTAACTATCCTTATTCATTAAGAAACAAAATCCTGGCAGGATCCTAAATGTTAGGATCTGCTCCAGATTCATGATAGGAGCCTAGCATCTCAGATCCTGCCAGGAAATTATTAGGATCCTGTACCGATCATAACAGGATCCTAATTTTTAGGATCCTGCCAGGCAATTTTTAGGATCTGCTCCACATTCCTAATAGGAGTCTAGCATCTCAGATCCTGACAGAAAATTATTAGGATCCTGCACCGATCATAACAGGTTCCTAAATTTTTAGGATCCTATAGGCTCCTGGTAGGAAACAGATAAGAAGTGCATAGGATTTTGTCTAGGGTTTCCCTCTTACATGCTATGAAATGACTTCATAAGCAACAACAGGAAACATTTTGTTATTGATATTTTCAAATTTGTGGGATATACTAGACTTTACCGATCACGTTTAGAAAATGCATTTATACACACGTATGTATCACATATCTGACATCGTAATAAACACGACTACTTGCATGAAAATTCTAAAAACATGTATTGCGCAATAAAGAGTATTTAGTATGCTTAAGGACCTCCCCTCGTTCAGAAATTACCTCCGGCACCGTACATCCGATCTTGACGAAACTTTCCGTAAATGTTCGGCACAATGAGTTACGGGAATATAAAGTTCTTTTTGTTTCCAAGTCTTACGGTTTAGGAGTTTTCCAGAGATCAAGGTCCAAAAAGGACCCTAAACGGCGTCCCAAGATTTTTAATATACTTCAAGCTGGAGAGTTCGGGTTTGTTTTATTTTAAACTAGACACCTAACTACATCGACTGACCGGCGCTGATTTTTCAATTAAGCCTTTATTCGTTTTTCAGGCAACCAACAACCTGCGAAACCCGAAAAAGCCTTCCGGATTTTCTAAAAATCCTCAGTTTGACAAAAAACTAACACCTAATTCAAAAATCGACGCCGGTCAGTCGATGTAGGTTCTTTTCCTCTTTTAGACAAAAAAAGAATGAACTCTCTACGACGAACCGCTATTAAAAATCTTGGGACGCACTTCAGGTGTAACTCTTATATAGCGAAAACGCTGTATGAAATAGTCCATTTTATGACTTCTAGGAAAATGCCTGTAACTTTTCGACGCAAGGTCATACAGAGTTGTGCAAAGTCTTATTTTGATCAGAAACGTTTGCTCTACAAATCTATGTGTTTAGAAAAATTTTAATTGGATAAGTATTCAGGAAAAAACCATTATTTGAAGACCCGTCTTTTCGAGGCTCTTAGAAAACTTGCTCAAAATCCCGGAAAAACCACTTTTGTAAGCAAAAGCAATACAGATTCTGGAAGTAGACACTTCAGGCTATCTTTCCATGTGCGTATCTCAAAACCGATTTTTTGACCGAAAATTACCATTTCTGAGGAGGGGTGGCGCTTAACATAGCATATAAAAAAACTCATTATATCTGTAGGTCGACTAGTGAAAATACATTTTACAATCAAACATCCTACACAAAATTGTTTTGATAAAACCGATAAGATTCTTATCGGAATCTAGTCAGTGTGTTACATAAGATTATTTAAGATTTCCCATCGACAGGCGTAAGTGTCATATAAGAATCTTATAAGATTTTCATAAGAGGTTCGTAAGAAATTCATAAGAAGTACCAAAAATTCTTATGTTATTCTTATTTACTAGGAGGCAGCTTATGAGTTGGTTTTGGTGATTTCTATTATGATTACGCTGCTTCTATTGGCTGGAAAACTTCATAAGAATTTTTGGTACTTCTTATGAATTTCTTACGAACCTCTTATAAAAATCTTATGAAATTCTTATATGACTGCCGATGGGAAATCTTAAACAATCTTATGTAAGAAACCGATAAGATTCCGATAAGAATCTTGTAAGATACTGATAAGAGACTCAGCCGTTTCTGGTAATATTCTAAAATAAGAATCGATGACTAGGACATCAGCGAATGTTTGCTTTCATCGAACAACACGTTTTCGTTTATTTGAATCTCAAAATAAGTCATGCTCGATTATTTTATTGGAGTATTCTCGTTTCCTCGAAAAATCGGGCATTTCAAAGAATTTCAAGGGCGGGAGCGGCGGTGTGAGAGTATTTTATTATATCATACTTATAATAATAACGTACAAATTGAAAGAAGATTCGAGTAAGTAATGACTATTCTTTTGATTTCACATCAAAATCTAGTTGATGATAATAGCACACACGCACTGAATAATAAGCCAGTTAAATGAAAAGGTTGATCTGAATAGAAAGAGTACTCTTACAAACATTGAGTATTTGCTAAATTTGTACATACTTTTGTATCGAATGAGATGTGGTTGTGATCGGATCTACTACGATGAAACAGAAACATTTAGACATCAAGACTGCCTCAAGGGATCATACAAAATTACCTGGTACTTTTGATGTAATATCCGAAGTTAAACAATTCTAGGTGGAAACAGTGAGCTTATTATTTCATATGAGCAAATTAATAATCAACGAACGCATCAGATTCAAGATAACAAAGATAATTTATTCGCAGAGTCATTGCACGCGGTGTGTGTGACAGGATTATTCCATAAATTATTCCACTCTAAAGAGTCGCGGTTCTAGTCTGAGAGCCTATCCATATAGGAAAAACGCTGGGAGGTAAAAATTTCTGTGTACTCTTAGTTAAATTTTACATCCCGAACATGAGTATACGATCCCTGATGTATAATTACCGCACATTGGCTAGTTGTTGTTACAGTGTTTGAGGTTGATGGTGCACTATCTAAAAGAAAAAAGATTGATTAATAAGTACACTAAACGGGTTCGAGAGAAGAAAATTCAAGTCCGAAACCTTTAAGACTTGTTTATTCAACCTTTGGGTTTAGGAATAGAATTTTAAGTTTATTAAGCAACCCTTAAAGGTTTCCGAATGGATTTCACAAAAACTTGAAGTTCTCGATTTGTAACTATCATATACCTCTGAGCTTGGGAAAGTCATCAACCCATTTTGGGTTCAAGAAGGTTGTTAATAAACCTAAATGGATTTCAGACTGGATTTTTTCCTCCCCCAAATCCGTTTAGTGGGTTTTGTTAATCAGCCTTTTCTTTTTAGAGAGTAATGCACTTGGTTGTGTGCTTGTAGTTGTTTGTGCAGCTGAGGTACTTGAAGTTAGCGTAGTAGATCAAATACTATGAGATGTGCTTAACGTACTCGTACCTGTTGATGTGAAAGATGTTGTCAACGGTTCTAAACATACAAAAATAGCTCATTTCAATTTTTTCAATAGTTCTTTCACAAGAGTACCACAAGGCTGAGGATTGATACGAATTTCATCTATGGCGATGTTAAATATACCTGTACCAACTGGACGTTCAAACACAAAATAAAACTAGAATGGTAGTAAAAGTAATAATTCAGCATCAAGCAATAATTCGAGAGAAACCCTGAATTATGTCGCAGAAGATTGACTCTATCTAAAGAGTATTTATTGTTATCTGATAAACTTTTCACATTCAGACAGCTAATATTCAAGACAGAAAAATATATGCATTGAATATTTGGTGATTTATACCTTTGATGCAATATTTGTTATTTCGAATGTTTTTCTGTATTCATGCCATTTGTTTGCTGTCCATTCAGTAGCTAAGCCAATCGTTTCGTTTAATTCTCCAAACAGCGGTTTAATCATGACACTAATACTCGCCTTACTATTCCCATTTGTGAAATAATAGAAAAATCCCAAACAGTAGTATCCCGGGGTGTCATCATCCACTTCTAATAACTCATACGATGTTGTACCAGTAGTATTAAATGTTTCAATACCATAGAATCCTGATTAAAGTAAAATCTGCCAAAATGAATTTTAGAGTTTTAACAGATATTAATTCAGTCTACCTTGATCACATATACCCATCGTTTCATTCGTCGATGTAGAACAATAAGCTTCCATACTGGTGGCATTCGGTCGATAACAGAAATACATGTCAGTCATTGAAAGAATATATGGCAGGCGACAAGAGTCACCATTCGACGTTACAATTTCTAAGTCAAAGCACAAAAACAGATATTTCATTTACTGAAAGGAACTGTCATACAAAGTAAATTGCGACGTTCGTCTCTACGTCCGTCAGCGTCATAACTACACATTCTTTCCTCAATGTGCCAATCAAAAAGCAATACCAATAGAAGTATTGGACGCCAGAGTGAATATGTGGCACCATGCATCACAATGGCAAATGATCAGAGACGCATGAGAAACAAAAGAATGGGCTGACCATTAAAAATAATATAATGACTCATCAGAAAATGCCACAAAAGCAGAGGTTAAATAATACCAAAAACTGCCGTTGATCTTGTATTTCTAGCACAAAGTAGACCTGAAGTTGTAACTGCTTATACACCATTATCCACGATTAAAAAATTAGACGATTTAGTTATTTTACGCTCATTTCTCAAATTAACTCTGCAAATAGAGCCACACGTATCTCATGCAAGAGAGTTATACCGATTTGGAGAACTGAATAAATTCATGCTGAAACGTTTTATCGCTCGTTTTTGAAAAACTGGCTGATACTAATTTTCTTTAACTAGTTTGGATTTTAGTTGCATATTGTTCGGCATTTTGTTTTGCTTTCATTGTAGGTAGATGCTTAGAGGAAAAGAAAAAATTAACCAACCTCCTATTTTTTGAACAGATCATAACAACACAAGGAGCTCTGAAATTTTATTGAATCCTTATATACATTTGCGTCCCTAATAAAATCGGATCTTCACAGTTTTCATGCGTCAGACATTACCCTGATGTAAAAACGTTTTCAAACTTCTTTCACTAATCGCCATGCATGCTTTCTGGGTTTTAATGGTACTTCTAGTTTTTTTTAACAGATTTTCCAAAAAATTGTCGAGTATTATGGGTTGTGTTAACATCAACGGAAGGAATCCTTATAAGAAAATAGGAATCTTTATTGGCGTTCGTCTACTCACTGAAAAAAAATTTACGAATTCCACGCAGGAATCTGAAAAAATCCTGTGAATGTTGGATATATACTGCAAGTTTTTAATCACGTTACCTCGCCGAAAATTTTCCTGCAAGTTGGTGAGTATAATTGAGCAGGATTCTTTAGCATGCTCACTTTTCGAGTTTCTTTTCTGCAGGATCCTGGAGGATTCTTCTCTAGGCACACCATGCAAGAACTTTTACATGTGTTCATGCGATATATCTCGCAGATGCTTCACTTTGCATAGCCTGCGGAATTTTTTCCTTCCTGTTATCACTTGTAATACACAAGATATCTCAATACGCAAACCCTGCAAGGTCTGTAGGATTTTTTCATGATGATAAAAACTTGTAGCTTGTGGATTTTGTGCACCATGTCTACCTTGCGGCATTCTGCAATCTTTTCTCATCAATATCTGTGCAGGGTGAACTTGTCTGTATTTTTTATTTTTGGCAAGTTAAGTATTTCTGCATCTTTTCTTGCGAAGTCATACAAGCTTTTCTCATGTCGAATAAACTTCCGGAAATGTATACCTTAATATTTTTAACTGTAACTTATCCATGTTTTACCGAAATTTTTCAAATTATATACCATTCAACAGAGTATTCAAAGGGATTACTCTCATTTCGTTCCATACTTGTTTCGTTCCGTTTAGACAGACATTAGTGAGAAAAGACTGCTGGATACCGCAGGATAGACATGGAGAACAAAATCCTTTTTCTTTTAACCAACAAAATTCTGCCAGATCTCGTAGGAAAAAACTTGTGGATTGAATAAGTCAAAAAGTCTTGCAATGTTTCTTACCTTTACGCAGGATTTTTTCCATGCTGACCCTACATAAACTATGCAGGATTCTGTCTGGGCTGGCAGTATAAAAATCCTGCGTAAAGGTAAGAAACATCGCCAGATATTTTAATACTGATAACCCGCGGGATTCTGCATGAATTTTGTATATTTTTTTCAGTGGGTACTCCTATTGGTAATGCTGAAGTGGAAAATCGAACATAAAATGATAAAGTTCCTCAAATACAACTATGCACAGGCGCAAGACCGACGGAAGACATACGTTAGACGTTTTCTCCCTGTCGTTAATGCCAGGTCGGTTCTTCTTGTCAATGGAAATTCTTGTTATAATATGATATGAATAGACAAACTTACTAATAGATGTGACATCAGATAATGGACGATCTGGTGGTATGATTAATTCTTGTGTAGTAACGACAGCTAAGTTACTAAGACAGGACTTTTCATTATCAAAGTCACAGAACAATTGTGCAGTAATCTGATGAACACAAAAGTAAAGTGCGACTAAAACAACAAAATATTATTAAGAACACTTAATCGGTGAATGTGAAAATGCAATTTCTACCTGAAAATAGTTTAAGATACATGACGCTGTAAACGTGTTTGAGTTTTATTCAATATCAAAAAATCGAAAAACTATTCAGAATAAAAAGTACATAAAATAATTCTTACCATTATAAGATAAGAATTTTATTGAATACATTTATACTGTAATTTTTATGATACGAAGAAAGTTGTAATTATCCATGAAAACTATTGAGAAATGTGTTGACTTTAAGAATCGAACTTGTTAATCAGAAATTTCATTCAAAAACTTTATTGCACAACACTGATAACTATACTGTGAATGGTGTTGATTTTATATAAAATGAGGGCAGAGTGAGAGTGAGTTCGAAAAGTAGTTTCACATAAAAGATATTTGCACTACATAGTGTAAATTTACTTCAGGCTTTCAGGTACATATTTGGTATATGACTTAATATTATTTTAAAGACTGCGTACAGTAATACCCGTTGTTTTGTTAGTTTATTTATACAAAAAAGTCTCGGAAGAGTCGGGTTCTGTTAATTAAATAATTGTGTCACGTAAGAAGTCACTGTAGTTATATAAGACATACAATCAAAACAGCAGCGACTCAGCTGTGTCAGGAGTATAACCGGTATCAAAAATACGATACCGGTACCGGTCACCCGTATACAAACTTCGTACCGGGACCGGTATACCGGTCGGTACACAGTGGGCATCCAAGCGGAAATTTGGCGAAAAATCGAAATATCTCGTTTTTCAAATATAAATAGTGCAAAATATAGCTCTTGAAATTCTCTATCAAATGGTGTATAAATGTCTATTTTGATATCCAATCTTTCGAGGAGAAACCAAGCCACAAGAGGTGCATAACAGATACCACGGAAAGTGACACATACGCATGAAATCTTGATTATTTGTTCGCTTAGCTATGTTAAACGATTCAAAAGCACATATTCGGAATCTGCAGATCCTCAGCTATCTACTGATATCAAAATATGTATACT